GTAAAGGTAGCCTGGTCATGCCAACTAACATGAGATGGTCATAGCAACCGAGTAACCTTAGTTCGGATAACCGAGTAACTAGTGAAGAAAGTAAAATTTTAAATCTTTTAGAGGCACTTCCACCTCGGTCCCTCACCCTTCCGAGTGAAGTGACTATCTTGCTAACCCAGTAACGCCCTCACGGAGGCGTCATGTGTACGCAGCGGTCGGGACTTGAACCCCGGCCGCTGCGATAGCGAGACCTCCGCCATACCACTATGCTAGCGCGACGCGTACGAGAGAGCGTGCCGGACAACGACCACGTGCCGCTGCCGACGCGATCCCCGAGCCACCCGGAGCGAGCGGGGGGCAGCAGCGGGGAGTGGGGCAGGTGGGGGGAGTGGAGGGGGGCTAGCCATGGCACCCCGGATCCCGAAGTGCAACCGATGGCATATGCTTGCAACAACCATCTCGAGTGGCAATCTGAAATAGTTGTGGCAAACAAGTCGCCTGGGTACCAACATCCCAAAATCAGTTCACCCAACTAAATCCGGTGGTGGCCCCGACTAGCAGCCGCCAACCGGCAAATATGCCAGTTACCCCAACCGACCTTTTATTTCTGTGCTCTTCATGGAAAGACAACCGTTCCATGAAGTCCTCTCGCATGGTGATCATTTTTCCACAGGGGCCCGTAAGCAATGCTGCATTAGCAATGAAAGGGCACTGTTTTGCTCATGGGTCCCGCCTACTTCACCATGCTGAAGTATAGTGTAAGAAATCGTAGACTTTGTGTCGGATGCAGTAAGCCGAATCAACCACTTCGGTAAAGCAGAAATGCAGAAGAATACGAGGGACAAGAAAACGGAAGTCACCATGTGAACCCTTAGAGGCCCGCGACCAGAAGCTGCGATCAAAAAACTTATATTTCTTGAAATTCTTCTTATCAACCACCTAAATAGACGAGAACAACAAAGAAATCCGAAATTCCCAACATGTAGTTTATAAACGGTAAGGGGCGTAGAAAATTTGACGATCCCTAATTGCTGACTTTTCGATCAAAATTGGTGTCATTGTGTGAGTCTCGACTCAAATCTAAGGAATATGAAAAAATAAATTCGCATTTTCGCCCTTGGGATTCCGGGAAATGGGGCCCGTTTTCGGTGGCCTCTGTTCGACAAGTTTGGGGCGAAAACTATCTTTTTTTCCGTGGAATGAGTTTACCGACCAGGTAGTTGCCCGCTTACAAGTTAAAAAAGTGGTGACTATCAAATTGCGTCGGCAATTGGGGGCCAAAAGTAAGGGGAAGCGTAAAAAACATATGTCGTTTATAAACGACACTGGGCCTTAAGGGGTGTTGGTGTTGTGGGTGCCAATCGTCCTCCGAGGCGCCGAATTTGATCGGAAATTGATCGGTCCCCACCAAGACATATCAGAATACTCTAATAGGGCATGTCAGTTGGGAAAAATGCGTATTGGGTCCACGAAAATAGAATCCTGTACCAAGCGCCTCTTTCCCAGGCCGATCCAGGATAGACGCCAGTGCTTGTCCTCATGACGACCACCCCGTCTCATGCCATCCTGGTGTCTGGGATCTGCTGAACACAGCGCTGAAGTTCGTTTCTCTCTGCGGTCTACGGTTCGCGAGATACGAGGGTGTACCACGAGGCCCCCGGCAAGGACAACGAAATTTGAGTGGAATTTTGGAGGCCAAAGTGATCCTGGCGCCGGCCTCGTTATGTGTCCAGGACTTCTGACTTCGGTGTTCGATGGTGCAGGTTCTCACCGTTCTGGGGACACCTCGCGACCTCCAGGAGCCGCCTGGGAAAGGGAAATTAAATCCCAGGCGTGGCCTGGAAAAAGTCCGATTGGTGGTCGATTCGGGTCGATTCCCAGGAGCCGCCTGGGAATACATCTGCCAAACCCAGACAGCGCCTGGGAATAGCCAAAAAGCGCCTGGAAAACCCTGACGGATTGATTGCCGTGTACAAACAGCAATTTTTATTGGCTAATGAGCGATTAGCGAAGCCCATTACTCCACTGACCGAAAAAATGTCATTCTGTTTGTTTGTTTCTCTGTAGGTCTGTTTGTATGCACGATAACTCCAGAAGGAATTGGGATAGCGACCTGGTAATTTCAGGGTCGTTTTGTATTACAAAAAGACAGATCGAGTTCGAGTTCGAAGAAGAGCATTCTAGCTCGAAAATTGACTTTAAAAAAAATCAAAAACCAAAGGTCGCAAAATGTTTTTTTATCGAATATTTTTTTATAGGTTTCTAAGGGGTAACTCGTAAAAAAAAAGAATCTTCTGGACGAAAACTTCGTAACGTTTGGGTGCTAGAGATCATTTCTTGACGAAAATAAAGTGAAAATGCGACCCAATGGTCTATAAAATCGTATAAAAGGCTTCATATCCAAAAACTGTAAGGGGAGTGGTGCTTTAATCACACATTTTTGACGTCAAACTACGCCATCCTTAGGGGTCTAGGTGCCCTAGATTATCGACTAAAACGTGGGTTTTCACATGACA